TCCATACCCCTCTTGGCTCGTCCTTGCAACGCCTGGCCCAGGTGGGCAGGATCTGGGAAACGCAACGGTTGCCCCGGTCGCCAGCCTTCTGAGTCCGCGAAGTCGAGAGCCACCCTCTTAGTCACGTCGAAAGCACGAACGACGGGAAAAACAACATAAATCTGCGAAACCGTCTGGATAAATGACTCGGCTGCTCGGCACAGCATCAACTTCCTCGGGAAGCCAACGGTAAACACGCAATGAGCCCGCTCCATGGCAGCAGCTCGCGTACCCGAAGATGGGGAAGGTGGTGACATGCTGGCGGGGGTGCCACTGGGCTGGGCCTGGATGACTTCGAACTTGGCAGCGACAACCGACTCCACCGCATGCACGACAGCGTCCGCGACACCGACTGCTTCGACTCTGAACTTTCTGGTCGTCAGCCGCCAGCGATGCACGTGCCTCGTGGATTTCTGGCTGCGTGAATTTCTCCAACCGAGAGATCGCAACGCTATTGTCCCGCACCGCATGGAGCAGTTATGATGCCCACTGCGGCCGCCGCGAGGACTGCGCGGCCGTGGACGAGCGGGGGGGCGAGAGGGTGATCGGGGCGGCCATGCCTCCAATCGGCGCGCGAGGGTGAGATGCGGCTGCTGCTGATCTGCTGTGCGAAGACTCCTGATCACGATCGCCGCTGCTCGAACTCCCCCCCCGCGGCGCGCGCGGCGAGCAGCTGCCCCGCGCTTCGCCCCCACGGCTGGGGGCGATGGGGGAGGCGGGGGACATCCGCGTCGCGGCGAAACGACAAACTCAAGCGGCCGCAATCCAATGCTCGAGGAAACTACGGACGGGCCTAGACATAATCACTTGGTTCTCGGGCGTCTGTAGCCATTCACAGAATTTAAGCCTTGCGCCAAAAGCGCTGCGGCATGTGGCACGCCGTGCTCTTATGATCGGCCGTTATACTGTGGTCTGCCGTGCTGCCGTGGTCTCCCGCGCTGGTCAGCCGCGTAGCTGGGGTCTGCCGTGCTGGTCTGCCGTGCTGCTGCGGCCTGCCGTGCTGGTCGGCCATGCTCCTGTGGTATGTCCTGGCCTGCCGTGAAGCTGCGGCCTGCCGTGCCCATGTGCCGTGTTCTTGTGGTCTGCCGTGCCATCCTGCCGCGCTGCTGTGGTCTGCCGCACTGGTATGTCGCGTTGCTGTGGTCTGCCGCGCTGGTCTGCCATGTTACTGCGGTCTGCCGCGCCGTCACATTCTGCCGCGTTGCCTTGGAACGCCGTGCTGGTCTGACGCGTTGCTGTGGCCTGCCACGCTGGTCTGATGCTCCTGTGGTCTACCACGCTGCTCCGCCGTGCTGCGCTGGTCTGCCGCGATCCCGCGGTCTGCCGCGCTGGTTCATATCGTGCTTCTGTGGCGTGCCGTGTGTCTGTGGTGCGCCGCGCTGTCAGGTTTTGCCGCGCCCCCACGGTCTGGCGCGCTGAATTGGACTGCGCTGAACTGAGCTGAACTGACCTGATGGGGGCGCAGAGCCCACAAGGCCGAGGGGCGGAAACCCCGCGGGGACGGGGCATGCAAAAGTCCGGCGCGGGGCGGGAGGTCGATGGACCGACAGCGCGCACGATCGCCGCGACAGAAAAAAAACTCGGGATTCAACCAAACATGCCCGGGCAACTGTAGAGCACGAAGAATTAGGCGCCTATGGCAAACAAAACGCGCAGAGGTACTGAGGCACGAAAAAACTACAATCGAATGCAGCATCAGATGTGCACATCACGCGAAGCAGCAACAACGCGCATAGACGAAACAATCCGCGCCTCGCTCTCGCACTTCAGGGCAAGATACAGACAAAGCTGCCGCGGAGATGCCCCGTGCCCGCGCGGCCGCCCAACCCGCCGCCTGACTCGTTGCCTCGGCGGCGAAGCGCTGAATCCTCGAGCAGCGGTCGCGGTGGAGCTACGGGAGAGCCATTCGAGAGCACTCGACCAAAAGACGGTAATCAACTCGGAACGAACGTCATTCCCATCGGCCTCGGTGCCCTCGTCGCAACCGTCAGAGGACGGGCGTCTTCGCGATTAAGGGGGAAGTCCGATAGCAAGGCCCCCTAAGCACTGGCCTCTGCGGGGCCCTTCAGGCGAGCGATGCGCCGGGCCACTTGCGGGGCCAGGGCGGCGAGGACCTCGCGGAGCCCCCGAGCGGGGCCGCTGCGCGGGGGCCCCGGGGGCCCCCCGCATCCTTGCGAGCGCGGAGCCACCGCGCACCAAAAAGCAAGGGGGGGCAACGGGAACTCTGAACAGCAAGGCCGCGTTTTGCAACCAACGCGCCCTCCCCCAGATCACAGCGCCTCGACCGAGAGAATGGCGGGCTCTTCAGACATGTCGCGAGCGCGCGAAAGCACCACCTCGACGGATCTGGACCACTGGGAGCACTTATCTCCCAACTCAAAGGCAAAACGCGCTCCGGGGCGCTGGCGCACGGCCGACCGCGCGCCGGCAGGACTGGCCGGAGCAGCTGAGACATTGGATAGCTTCAGGACCGCGAGCTTCAGGAAACTTCCGGGGGCCCTTCCACTGGCAGGCCGGCGCAGACAAACTCTCCAAGCCCAGGGCGGCGCGCGGGCAGGCGCGAGTCTCGAGCGGAGGGGCGCCCAGCCGACGCGCTAACAAACTGGAAAGCACACTCACAACAAATAATGCAATCGATCACGGCTTCACCCATATCATAGGTGCAAGACGCGCTGTCAAGAACCACCACGCAAGCGCGAACGATATCATGAAAACCATGCTCGTCCAAGAGACGTGGAGCCCGGTTGAAAACCCCCATGAGCGCCAGCGAAAACGAGGAGGCTTCGCGACCTCGGCGGTAGCTCTGAGCTGGCCGACGCTGCCTCGCGAAACGCCAATGGAATCAATCAAATACACCACCCACGCGGCAATGGAACACGACCGAAGCCTCGTCTCCAGAAAGAACCAGCAATCCCCGGCGCTCGCCAGACAAACCCTTCTGGTCTAGATCAAACACTCCCGAATGCACAACCCAGGTTGGACTGCAGCAAAGACTCCACCGTGAGTTCCTCCGCCCGGGGAGCCAATGCACTCGAGCAGCAATTCGGGGGCAGACGAAACTGGCTGCGCAACTTCTTCGCTCGGGATATCTGGCCATCACCTCGTGGAAGATGCTATGCCGTGAAGATCCCATCTAGCTCGGCAGCCTCAATCGAAAGGAAGCCCCGCGCCAAAGTGGGCAACTCGGCTACATGACAAAACTTACAATGGAGCCGCGCGCGCGCAAGCGCCCCCCCCCCCCCCCCCCCCCTTCTTGAGAGTGGATCGGGCCAGCGAGGTTGCTGAATGTTGGGCGGGTCCGCGGCGCCAGGAGCGAGCTGCTGGATGGCGGCGCTACAAAGTGCACGGGACAAAACATGAGACTGAACATCAGAGCGGCGGGCCCGCTTAGCAGTCCCACTCTCGACCGTGGCCGCGAAGAGCTGCTGGCATCGCCAGGCTCGGGTGGCGCGCGGGCCCGACTCGGCCGCGCGCTTTCCGAGGGCAGAGGGTTCCTCGACCTTAGCTGGGTCACCGACGACATACTTCAAAGGCGGCATCGCCCATCGGAAAGGATTAACGCTTCTGGCATGGCCCACGGTGCTGTCGCCATTGCACTAACGAAGTCGACGAATTCGCTGTCAACGTCTCGAGCTGGCTGAACTCCAAGAAGCGAAACTTGGCCTCGACGGCGGCGCAACCAAGGCGACCGCTGACGACGACAGCTTTGATCTTGTCAGGAGCACGCACAGCATCACCAGGCACAGGAACATGAACACCATCTGCTGCAGCACCTGCACCGGGAACGCAATGCACTGGAGGGGGGGCTGCTACAAGCCGCGCGGCTGCCACGGGCGCTGGCGCAATCGCCCGCGATGCGGAAGGCGCCTGCTCCGCCGCCGCCGCCGCCGCTGCCTCAGCCTGCGCAGCCACCTCCTTCTTCTCGATCTCAGTCTCTTGCTGCTTCTGAAACTCAAACACATCGGGGTCGAAGGGCGCCTTGACCTGGTGAGCAACCCTATCGGCTGCCGTGGCGTTGCGCAACTCCGAGATTCCGTCATTGCAGGCCTTCTCACGCTCGAACAGCAGGTTCGTCGTCTTGCGGGAACCATCCAACTTCCACTGCATGTCTTGGTAAACCTGCATCCCGACATTGGCCGCTGATTAACACTGTTTGGCCAAGTTGGTCTGCTCCGCAGACACCAGCCTGTCCAGTTCCATAGGAAACATCCCCACGATGGTTTGGAGAGGTGGCCCAGCGGCTGCCTGAGCGACTCCAGCAAGGGCGGGATAAGACTTGGCCCGCACCTGGAGCTAACCCACGAACCCCGCGGGCAAGGAAGCCCCCGCCACGGGTGGCTTCGCAACAGCTGGGGGGTCGACGGTACCAAATCAAAATGGGGCTTGACACTTGCTGCACTGACGATGCCCTCATGTCGTGCACCCCGAATGACCGAACGACCTGATGCGAAGAATCCTGAAAATCCGTACTGGATGCCGTCCACGTCTGCCACAATCCTCCACGACTCTGCTGCCAGGGCGCTGTGAGACGTCAAACCATGGATTGTACGCAGCCCCCTGTGGTGCTGACGGAGCACCTGCAGATCTCGCTCACGGCGCAGGCAATGCCTCGCACCAGCTAGCCGCCGCCTATGACGGCGATGCCATGGCGGGCTCCGAGCCCGCGCGCGCTCCGTGGCGCGCCGCTCCAGGCGCCTGAGGGCTATGGCGCATTGCACGGCCACCCGCTGCCAAACTACCTCACGCTTGAGCCCAAATCGCTGCGGAAGAGGATGAGGAGGGGGAGGGGGAGGAAGAGGGGGAGGGGGAGGCGGAGCGTGGAAAAGCAAGGAGAAAGAGGAGGAGGAGGAGGAGGAGGAGGAGGAGGAGGAGGAAGGGGGAAGGGGAAGAGGAGGAGGAGGAGGAGGAGGACGAGGACGACGAGGGGGAGGCGGAGGAAAACGTTGAGGAGCGGTCGGGGCCTCATCGCCACCATCCCCGCCTCCCTCGGCCATCGCCCTGCCACGGCGGCGCGCACAACGGGGCGGCGAGAGGGGCGGTCTTGCAAGAAGGTGGGGGGGGTCATCGGAAGAAAGAAGGGGGCTTGTCGGACCCCCCGGATTCCAAGAAACCCCCAGCCCCTCTCCTGAGACGGCCCCCGGCTTCCGATAAGCCCCCCGCCTTTGCAGATCCTGGAGACAAACAAATTGCAGGACAATCGTTCTACATTGCCCGTGGAATATGGACATGTGAGCATCAAACTGGGCTCGTTCCCCAACCGACCCTCACAATAATCGCCGCTGGACCGCCGCTCTACAAACCCCCACTAGGACGAAAACGATGTCACGATACGATTGGCCGAGGATACTTTCCAGGAGCTCGGGCGTATCTAGCGGCACTCGTTTCTGCAGCCAGCGTGGGATATGTGGGACACTGGAAAATCCTGGAAACCCTGGAAGCCTGGGAACGCATCATTATCACTACTTCGTGCTCATATGAGCAACGATCACACGCAAGTTTTACCCCTATATGACATAGCGACTTTACGCCGCAGCTGATGCGAACCGCCAGCATGGCACACCGCGTGGAGAAGAAGGCGTTCACGCCCGACCTTGCGCGGGAAGTTTGCGCGTCAGTGACAGCGCCGTCGAAACCTTTTCCTTCCGCAGCCCATCTGAGATTACAAGGCCACCCCCCTGGCTGGACGAACAAAAAACGGCAAAAACATAATTTCTCTGAGGTTCGTCTTGGATCGGCACTGGACCCTCCCTCCTGGGGCGCGGAGCGCGCCAAGGGCCGCGCCAGAGGTGCCGACGGGGAAGCCCAGCGCCGATACAATAAATCCGCGAGGAAGTCGGAGAAATGAAAAAGGCCATGCTTTCTGCTCCGACCCAGTGCGCCACCCCCGTCCTGCGCGAGGCCGGCTGCCGCCCCCCCCCCCGCGCGCGGCCGCCCCCCGCCGCAGACCGGCCCTGGGGCCCCGCGGCGCGCTGGCGGCGTGGCTTTGGGGCATCTTCCTTTCCCTCGTCCTCCTGTTCCTCCTCTGTTTCCTCTGATTCCTCCTCCTCCTTTTCCTACTTCTCCTCCTTGTTCTCCTCCTCCTCCTGCTCCTGCTCCTCCTCCTCCTCCGCCCCATCCTCCTCCTCCTCCTCCTCCTCCTCCTCCTCCTCCTCCTCCTCCTCCTCCCTCCTCCCCTCCTCCTCCCCCTCTACAATTTCACAATCTGAATACTATTATCCTCTCCCCCCTGATGACGTCCAGAAGATGTTCGCCCCCCCTTCGCGTGGTGTTTTTAACACACAAGATTCCCGGGAATTGGGTTTTCGCTTGGGCTTTTTTCAAAATGTTGTTCACGCTGAAGCACTGGCCTCATTGTCAGGCTTCAGCTCGTTCCGAATCGTGCTCCCGCTGCAGCGCTGGCCACATTTCCGCGCTTCCGCTCGTTCCGAATCGTGCTCCCGCTGCAGCGCTGACGTGATTATTCCCAGGGCCATGCCATGGCATGCAATCCAATGCTATGTGGCGTTCCGCTGTGCGATGCCATGCCTTCAGCTGCAATGCTAGGATATGCAGCGCTTGACTACGCAGTGCCACGCCATATTATGCCAGGCTACGCTTTGACCTTCAACGCCATGCTATGCCATGTTCTGTGCTGTGCCGCTGTGCGATGCCATTATGTGCATTGCAATACTTCGCGATGTATTTGTTCGCTACGCAACGCCACGCCATGCTATGGCATAGCTCTTCTACGCCCTGCTATGCCGTGATCTACGATGCATCGCGCACCCTCTCGGGATCATTGCTCTGCTCGACGTCCGACTGTGCGAGTAGAGGATACCTACGCCATGGCAAGGGATGGGAGGGAGGGGTAGGACGTCAGATATGACGCGAGCACATCTAGCTTGTCCTCCTCCTCCTTTTCCTCCAGCTCCTCCTCCTGTTCCTCGCCCCCCCTCCTATTCCTGATCATGTTCATTCTCCTTCTCCTTCTCCTCCTCCTCCTCCTCCTCCTCCTCACCTCCTCACCTCCTCCTCCTCTTCCCCCTTCTCCTCTCCTTCCTCCTCCTCCTTCCCTTCCTCCTCCTCCTCCTCCCTCTTCCTCGTCCTGTTCCTCCTCCTCCTCCTCCTCCCTCCCTCTCCTCCTCTTCCTATTCCTCCTCCTCCTCCTCCTCCTGTTCGTCGTCCTGTGTCTTTTCCTTTTGCTCTTCCTCTCCTCCTCCTCCGACTCCTCCTCCTCCTCTTCCTCCTACCGCTTCCCCTCCTCCTCCTCCGTAGCCATTGTGGCTCGAGGTGCTGAGTTCCCCTGGGGAACACACAGATACCGCTTGTCCGCGGCCAGTGCCAGGGCGCTTGCGCTCGACTGTTGTCTCCTCCAGCCAGCACCTCAGCGGGTCACTGGCGGCCCATCCCTCTCTTTCGGGAGAAACACGCTGCTCGTCGGCAAGGCACTGCTGGCTATGTCGTCTGCACGGCCTGTCGGTACCGCTGGACCTTCCGCGGGAACGAGAATTGCTTGAATTGCGGCAAGGTGCTCCATGTCGGTACTGTGCTTCCCCGAGTCCGTCTCCCTGCTGTGCCTGGGCCAATGGCTGGAGACGCGGGAAAGCCAGGGCGCAAAGGAGGCAAGCCAGCTGGTGACGAGGTTGCCGAAGGCAAGGGCAAGGGCGACAATAATGGCAAAGGAGGCCAAGGCGCAGTGGCTGCCGAGACCAGCCACTACCAGCCGAGCTTCCCTAAGGCCCTTGGACGCGCGAGGCGACCCTAGTCTCCAGCGAGCTGGACACGCTCCTCGCAGTGCCCGACCCCGCCGTGGCGGAGGCCCTACGCGTGGCCGTCGAGGCGGCCTGCAAGTGCGAGGCCCAGCCGCCAGCCCGCGCGCCTCGGACAACTGCGCAGAGGCTGCAGTCGGCTGGTGACCGCCGCCAGCACGCCAGCAGTGCACTGGACATCGCAGCCTGGTCTGTCGCCGAGCTCGAGCGGGCCCTCGAGGATGCCAAGGCTTGGCGCGACGAGAATGGCGCTGGCACTGGCGGAGGCCCAGGCTGAGGAGGCCGCAGCCCTCCTCCGCCAGCGCAAACTGGAGACGAGCGCCCAACAGGAGGCCAACCCGGAACTATGCCGACTCCATGCGGGCCCGCCCCCCACAATTCCTTCCCAAACAATGTAAACCGCACTTTGCCTCCACATTTGGAGCATGCTCGGCCAACCCGACGCGGCCCCGCAACGACCACCATCCCAGTCAAAAAACAAAGCAGCATACACTTTGGGGCAAATTCTTGAGTCATGTTCTCGAGGCCCGCAAGCACTGTATTGCTTTTGACAGGGACGGCGCGGGTCTCAGCATATTCCCTGCCGTGCGCAGGGCGACCATCCCTGACAACAACAATACAACATGCACCTCGCGGTTAAATCTGGATCATGCGCGACCATCCCGCGATCACTGTCAAGCGGTTTTTGACAGGGACGGCGGGTTGGTGGCGTGTGGCCTGCTGTGCGAAGGCACACCAAGCACAATGATGGGCATTGGTTTTCGACAATGATGGCGGGGGCCGATCTGCTTCCCGATGTATGCTGTCACGTACGCAGGCGCACCTGACGCACTCTGCACGTGCCCCAACATGGCGCACCTGGCGCGGCAGGAGTGTGCGGCGCACCTGGCGCACTCGGAGCTTGGGCCCCACGGGTGCCTGGCGCGCGTGGCGCCCCTGGCACGCGTGGCGCACCTTGTCCAAGCGTCGCGCAACCGGGGTCGGCTCTGGTTCCCAATAGCTGTCTGTCCAAAGACGACAGTTGGACAGCTCAGGCTCGGATGTTACCCATGTGTTGGGAGGGCGGGTGGGAATGAGCTAGACGGCTTGCGGGCGGGTGAGTAGCTTGATCACTGTTCCATGTTAGTGCACACCTCCTCCCCCACCCGGCTGGCGCCCAACCAGGAACCACGCCGACTCCATGCGGGCCCGCCCCCCACAATCCCTGTCAAACAAACACTATAAACCGCATTTTGCCTCCGCATTTGGAGCATGCGCGGCCAACCCGATGCGCCCCCCCACACCAACATCCCTGTCAACAAAAATGCAAAGTACCCTTTTGGGCAAATTCTTTAGTCATGTTCGTGAGGCTCGAGCATTATGCATTGTGATCGACAGTGGCGGCGGGGGTGCCAGCATGTTCTCTGCTGCGCGCAGGGCTACCATACCTGACAACAACAATACAACGTGCACCTCGCGGCTAAATATGGATCATGCGCGACCATCCCGCGATCACTGTCCAATGGTTTTTGGCAGGGACGGCGGGTTGGTGGCGCGTGGCCGTGCGCACGCACACCAAACACAATGATGGGCATAGTTTTTCGACGAGGATGGCGGGAACCGAAATGTTTCTCGATGCGTGCTGTCGCGTGCGCAGGCGCACCTGACGCACTCTGCACGTGCCCCGAACATGGCGCACCTGGCGCGGCAGGAGTGTGCGGCGCACCTGGCGCACTCGGAGCACGTGGCGCATCTGGCGCACCACGCGTGCCTGGCACGCTCAGGCCCCAAGGGTGCCTGGCGCGCGAAGGGCCCCTGGCACGCGTGGCGCACATCGCCCAAACGTTGCGCAACTGGGGTCGGCTCTGGTTCCCAGTAGCTGCCCATCCAAAAAAACGACCGCTGAACACGCTCAGGCTCGGGTGTTACCCATGTGTTGGGAGGGCGGGTGCGAGTGAGCTAGACGGTTTGCGGGCGGGTGGGTAGTTTGATACTGCTCCGTATTATACCCCCCTGGCGACTGGGAGCCAACCCGAGCCAATGAGGGCCCTCCCCCCACCATCCCTTGTATTAATTCCAAAAAAACAATACAAAACACACTCTGCCTCCAAATTCGGAACATGCGCAGCGAACCCGATGCGGCCTTCCCCCACCGTCCCTAAACAAAAAACACTACAGAATACACTTGGCGGCGGCGGCGGCTGCGGCGGTTGCGACGGGGACGGCGGGGGCGGCGGTTGCGGCGGTGGCGGTGGCGGTGGCGGCGGCGGTGGCGGCGACAACGACGGCGGCGGCGGCGGCTGCGGTGGCGGCGGCGGCTGCGGCGGCAGCTGCTGCGGCGGCGATTCGGCAACGGGGGCGGCGGCGGCGGCGGCGGCGGCGGCGGCGACGGCGGGCAGCGCGGCGGCGGCGGCGGACAGCGACGGCGGCGGCGGCGGCGACGGCGGCGGGCGGCGGCGGCGGCGGCGGCGGATTGGCCCCCAGTAGCCGGCCATCCAAAAACGACTGCTGCATGTGCTGCGGCTCGGGCCAGACTCGGGTGCTACGTATGTGTTGTAAGGGCGGGTGGGAGTGAGCGAAATCCCCCCCTGCCACCCTCCCCTGGGCCTGGGAAGGGGAAGGGGCCGCGAGGCGCTAGTGCGCCCAAGATAGCCCAAGATGGTTCCAAAAAGGCCTCGGGAAGCCCAAGATGGCCTTCAAGATGGCTCAAGATAGCTGAAGATGGTGCTCAAGGTAGCCTCCCACATACATCGGAGACGCCCCAGGATGGTTTCAAGTGCCCCCCGCTTTGATTTACGGGGGCCGAGACGGCCCCAAGAGATCTCTCTGACCCGGCCATAGGGCCCAAATAAGGCCCCAATATGACCCCGAAGAGCCCGAAGAGGGCCCCAAAAAGACCCCAGGAGAGCCCCAATATGGCTCCAAGAATCCCCCGAAAACCTCTCAATATAGAACGCTTCAAATTCAACTCGCCTAGCATACTGTTTCTGAATGGGTCGGCAGGGATCTATTTTTTTGGTACGCGGGCGCGCGGAACGGGTCAAGCGCCAGGCTAGCAGGGGCAGGCCGCGCCACCGGCCGCGAAAAAAAAAGCGACGAGCCAAGCTCGGTGCGGGGCGGCGCTCAGGCGACCAAAATGGCACGAAGGCGTCAATGGGCGCCAGAAGCGCGAGGAAGGTGCCGAGGAAGGCGGCGCACGCGATGGCAGCGTGGGGTGACCGGAGCGCCACACTTACCCAGGACGGCGGTGACGAAAGTGGGAAGCCAGCCCCAATCTGCCGAACGCGAAGTCCTTGCACAGAAAGAGCAGGAACAACCGGAGGCCCAGGCTCCACCGGGGCAATAACCACCTCCGTGAAGAAAGACCGGGGAGAGCCCGACCACCAGGCAGCCACGGAACATCCCCCAGGGAGTGCATCCGACAGGGCGATGTAGACTGTCGCGAGGCGAACGAGCTTCAAATACTGCAGAAGGTACCCCTTCGCGTCGATGCAGGAGACCAACGGTGCCACGGGCAGGGCGGCATGAGGTAGCGGCCAAACAACGCGACCAGCGGCCGGGGGAAACGCATGCAAACACCCCCACTGGGGCCTTCGGTTGAGCTCCCTATGGGGCCACGAAGCGCTGTCCTGCGTGGGGGAGACGCATACGAACACCTCGATTGAGGCCTTCGGTGGAGCTCATATGGGGCCACGAAACGCTGTCCTGCGTGGGGTGGGGTGGGGGGGGGGGGGGGCGCATGCTGGGGCTTTCGGGGGCGCTCGCTATGGGGCCACGAAGCGCTGTCCTGGGCGGGGGAGACGCATGCTAGCACCCCGATTGAAGCCTTCGGTGAAGCTCCCTGGGGCCGCGAAATATTGTCCTGGGTGGGGGGCACGCATGCGAACACCCCTACGGGGGGCTTCGGTGAAGCTCACAATGAGACCTCTAAACGCTCTCCTGGGTGGGGGAAGCGCATGCGAACACCCCTACAGGAGGCTTCGGTGGAGCTCCCTATGGGGCCACGAAGCGCTGTCCTGGGTGGTGGAGACGCATGCGAACACCCCCACTGGGGCCTTCGGTGGAGCTCCCTATGGGGCCACGAAGCGCTGTCCTGGGCGAGGGAGACGCATGCGACCGCCCCCAAGGTGGGGCCTTCGGTGGAGCTCCATATGGGGCCACGAAACGCTGTCCTGGGTGGGGGAGACGCACGCGAACACTCCCACTGAGGGCTTCGGTGGAGCCCCCTATGGGGCCACGAAACGCTGTCCTGGGCGGGGGGGGCGCATGCGAACACCGCCACTGTGGCCTTAGGTGGGGCTCCCTGTGGGGCCACGAAACGCGCGAGGGGTGTGACGACGAGGGCGCGCCGCTGGATCTCCCCCAGGGGGTGGTGAGGGGGGGGTTGGGGACCCCTTCCCCCCCCCCCCTCTTTCTTCGAAGTGTCCGGGACCCGCCCCCCTCCCCCCCTTCCCCGATCCGTAGTCGGGACTTCCCCCCCCCTCCCCCCCTTTCCTGGTCCGTCGTCGGGACCCCCCCCCTCCCCCCCTCCCCCCTTTTCAAGGGGGGGGGGGTCTGGACCCCCCCCCATCCCCCCCTTTGGCCGCACCCCCCCCCCCCACCCCTGCTTTCGCCACGCCGCCCCCTGACTCCGGAACCCGACCCCCGCCACCCCTACCCCTAGTCCTCACCCTAACCCAAACCCTAACACTAGCCCCAACCACTAACCCCAGCCCCAAAGAGTACTCACTACTCTTAGGCACTACCCACTACTGACTACTCGCTATTCGCTACTCACTTCTCGCTATCCCCTACTCACTACTCACGACTCACTACTCACTATCCACTACTCACTACCCACCACCCACTACTCGCTACTCACTACTCCCTACTCACTACTCCCTCCTCCCTACTTACTACTCATTACTCACTCCTCACTACCCACTACGCAATGCTCACTACTCACTAATCACTACTCACTACTCCCTGCTCACTACTCAAAAATCACTGCTCATTACCCACAACCCACTATCCACGACTCACTACTCACTACTCACTACCCATTGCCCACAAATCACTACTCACTACCCACTACTCGCTACTCGCTACTCCCTACTCCCTACACGATACTGGCTACACAGTACTCAGTACGCACTACTCGCTACTCCCCTACTCGCTACTCAATACTCACTTCCCGTGAATCGCTACTCACTACTCCCTATTCACTAGCCACTACATAGTCTCTAGTCATTAGTCACTAGTCACTCCCCACTACTAACTACTCACTAGTCGCTACTCACTACCCACTATGCGCTACCCACTTCTTACTACTCGCTGCTCACTACTCCCTACTCCCTACTCCCTACTCACTACTCTCTACTCGCTACTCACTACTCGTTACTCACTAATCACTACCCACTACTGACTGACTTCACTCTGCTCACTACTTACTACTCACTACGCCCTACTCGCTCCTCACTACTCACTACTCGCTACTCCCTACTCGCTACTCACTACTCACTACCCACTGCCACTACCCACTGCTCTCTATTCATCACTACTCACTACTCACTACTCACTACTCACTACGCACTACTAACTACTCACTACCCACTACTCACTACTCACTACGCGCTTCTCACTACTCACTACTCACTACTCACTACTCACTACTCACTACTCTCTACTCACTACGCACTACGCACCACCCACTACTCACTACTCACTAATCACTACTCGCCACCCATTACTCACTACCCACTACTCACTACCCACCACTCATTACTCCCTACTCCCTACTCAGCTACTCGCTACTCACTACGGACTACTCACTACTCGCTACTCACTACTCACTTATCAGTACACACTACTCACTATTCACTACCCACTACTCTCCACTCCCTACTCCCTACTCCCTACTCGCCACTCACTACCCGTTACCCACTACCCAATACTCACTACTCACTACGCACTAACTCGCTACTCACTACTCACTACTCCCAACTCCGTACTCCCTACGCACCTTCTCCGGCGCAGAAAGGAGAAGCGAGAGAGGCCCCCCCTCCCCGGCTCCCTTTCCGGCGCAAAGAAGGGGAGAGGGGGGGGGGGGGCTCCGAACCCCCCCTCCCCCTTTCCAGCGCCAAGGGGGGGAGGGGGGGGGTCGGGACCCCCCCTCCCGCCTTCAAAGGGAAGGGGGGAGGGGGGGGGGTTGGACCCCCCCCGCCCCTTAAGGGGGGGAGGGGGGGGGGGTCGAAAATCTCACCCCCCTTGGAAGGGGGGGAGGGGGGAGGGGTCTGCGAGCACACCCCCCTTTTGTGTATTCAGGGACATCCACTGGCGCGCTTTCTGTGACGACATGGGCGGTGGAGACGATGATGGTGACGATGATGAGGAGGATGTGGATGAGGATGAGGTGCAGATGACGATGCTGATGGATGATGGGTGACGGTGATGATGGTGACGATGGTGTAGGGAGAGGGAGGGGATGATGATGATGATGATGATGATGATGATGATGATGATGATGATGATGATGATGATGATGATGATGATAGTGATGGGAGGGGGGGGAGGAGGAGGACGAGGAGGAGGAGGAGGAGGACGAGGAGGAGGAGGAGGAAGAGGAGAGGAGAGGAGAGGAACGCGGGGCGCTGTCTCTTCAAAACGAGGACCCAACATCACAGGATGGTTGGGAAAAAATTGCAACGCAGGTCTTCGCACACCGGGGTCAGCCAATAGGCGCGGCCGCCTCGCGGCCACGAGCGGCTCGCTAACCCGGGTCAGCCAGAAGGGGTTTTCTCAGGATCCTGCAAGATCCGGCGCCCTGGCTGACCCCCGTCTGCACTGACCCCCGTGTCGTGGCTCCCGATGGCGCCAGTGCCAGGCGGGACCGGGGGCGCGGATGGCCGCGCCCCCCGTGGCCACGCGCGCTCTAGCGGTCGTCGCTGCAACTGCTGCAGCACCCAAATCGACACGCCTAGAGCTGTCGTGGCAGCTTGGGAGGGAGGGAGGGAGGGAGGGAGGGAGGGAGCAGCCATCCATTACCATCTCTATTCGCACAATCGGATGTCGTAGCATGGCATGGCACCACATGGCATAGCATGGTGTTGAAGATCAACGCGCAGCATGACATAGCATGGCGTGGCGACGCCCCAAAGTAGGGGGGGCTTCTGCGGCCCAGAAAATCAACGAATCGACACCGAATGCGGAATCGCTTCCGATAGCTCTTTCGGGGGAGCAGTTTCTAGACTATGGGGCCTTTTTGGAAGGGCCGAAAACCATGCCGTGGCATGGCACTGGAAATAATGACGCCAACGCTGCAGCGGTAGCACGATTCGGGACGAGCGGAAGCGCGAAAAGGAGGCCAACGCTGCAGCGGGAGCACGATTCGGAACCAGTGGAAACCCGAAAATGAGGCCAGCGCTCCAGCGGGAGCAACATTTTGAAAAAAAACACCTGAGCAAAAACCCATTTCAAGGGAATCCTGCGTAAAAAAAAAGACGCGGAGGGGGCCAGATATCTTGCGGACGTCATCAGGAGAGAGAGGAGAGTAGTATTCATATTGTGTCGTTGTGCAAGGAAGAGGTTAGGACGCAGAAGGACATACGGGGACTATGCGCTCCCATTGGAGGCCACGTCCGACCTTGGCATGGCCACAAAGCGCCCGCCACCGATCATCCGCCACCATGCCTGCGCGGAGTGGGCGCGTTAGAATGCTCTGCTTTCCAGGGCCGCTCCTCCCCCCTCGGTCCGCGCGCGGGGTACCCCCCCCCTCTCCCCGGCGCTCTTCTCGGCCTCCAGACGGCCAATATGGCCTCCAAGACGGCTTCCAAGAGAACCATGACTACACCAGAACTGCTCAAGATTGCCAATGACGGCTCAAGAGGCTCTTAAGACGAAGTCCAGACGGCCCACGAGGCCCGCAAGACGGCACGTGAGCGCTTCGAGAGGCCCCATCCAGGAGAGCCCGAGAAGGCCAAAACTTGTGATTTGAATGTGGCTGTTGAAGGATATCGAGGTTCTCGCTTGATTGGGCTTCCGACCGCTCAAAACGGCCACGAGGCATCCGAGATGGCCCCAAGACAGCCCAAGCGGCCCCAAGAGGGCTCCAAGCCGGTCCTAGAAAAACCCTAGATTCGGCCAAGAGGCTCTCAAGAGGGCCCAAGGTGGACTTCAAGAGTGCACCATAACGGCCCAAGGTTGCCTTCAAGGCTCTCAAGAGGGCTCCCAACACGCTCAAAGCGCTTCAAGAGTGCACCTAAACGGCCGAGAGAATCCCCTAAGACGGCGCCCGAGAACGACAGACTGGCTAAGAACCGTCTAAGACAAAGCTCCCGCGAAAAGGAGCCAAACGCCTCCGAAAAGGCATCCGCGAAAAGGCCTCCAAGATAGTTCCATGACGGCCCGCGAGGCTCCCAAGAGGG